CGCAGCGGCCGCAGGGCCTCCGGGCGGACTCTGACCCCGCGCCAGCGCCGAGGCCTCTCCGCCCCCAGCACCCTCCCGCGCCCCTCCGCCGCCCTCCCCGGTGCTCTCCCGCGCACCTTCCGAGAGTCGCCGACGCTCAGGGCCGGCAGAACAGGGTCGTAAACCTTCGCCCCCCCTCACCCTCATGGCCCCCGTTTACAGGTGGGTAGACTGACGCCCGGAGCAGCGCGGAGCGTCCGTCAGGCCACCCGGCGAGACAGTGGCAGAGACGAGGCCTCCTGCACGCCCTAACCCTCACCCCGTCCGAGACTGTGTACTATAATCCCAACAAAACGTTCCTTGCTCCGCCAGCACCGCACCACCCACTCCCAGATCCTCCAGGAAAGTAAACTCTGACAGGAGATGAACCAGAGGTGGTGGGGTGGGGATTCAGGGAGGGGGTAGGGGGAGGAGGCCCTCCTTGAGTCTGACCTTCACCTCTACCCAAGGGCCAGACTCTACAGAAGCCTTGAGCTTGGGGTTCGTGGACCCAGCTTACTCCCATCCCTCCGCACCACCACACCATCCTTCCCCTAAAAAAGAAGAAAACGGCTGGATTCTTCTGAGCCAGACCCTGGGCACTTAAAATGGCCCACTGCCTTCTCTGCTCCCGCCAAGGCCTTTCCTGACTAGAGGCCAACTCTCCCTGTATTACTGCAACGGGGAAAGTGTGTGCATGCGCCGGCAGGGCAGTGAGTTCTGGCCCAGGAGCAACCCCCCTCCCCCACCCCACACCCCAACCCTTTCCGCTCTACCCAACGGCTGGTCAGATCCAACCCACCATGTGTCCCGTGTCCCCTGAGCGTTTCTACCCTCACACCTTTGCTGCTGTTCTCTCGTCTGGGATACCTTCTTGCCCTGTCGCCGCTTAGCAGAATCCCATCGCCTTTAAGGTCTCAGCTTGCACTGCCTCCTCCAGGGAGCCTTCGTGGGAGTCTGATCCTCCCCCTCCCAGTCCAGCTCCCGCTGCATTCTGGGTTCTTCTCTGACTGTCCTAGATGAATGCTGTCTGTGACTAGCCCAGCCCTCGGGATTTCCTTTCTACCTAACTCCAGGTGGGGGTTGGAGGTGACCTATCCTGCGTGGATGGCATCTAGGGTAGAGATAGTGGTGAGGGCCCCTCTTTAGCCACAGGTGTGTATGTAGAGGGGGACCAAGATGGGTCTGCCTGCCCCTTACCTTTCCAAGGAAGAACCATAGGAGAAATGCAGGTTGGGGGAAGCTACAACTCCTGTCCCTCCAGAAAGCTTTGAATGTGTATCTGGGGGGCCTGCAGGGGGAGGTGTCTGGACAGACAGCTGAAGCCAAGCTTCCCAGAGCCCTTAGAATGAAGTCTTAACTCCGTGGAGCCTACAAAGCGAGAATAATCTGTCCCTTGCCCACCTTTTTGGCCTTACCTTCCTCTCTTCAAACTCCCATCCCCCACTCCCTTTCCTGCTCTTCCGTTTTAACATTTTTAATGTGTGCAGATCTTTTTATTTGTACATTGTGCTTTAACATTGTACAACCGCACGTGGTTTTAATTTGCACACGGAGTATTCTGTTCTGTACCTCCTTAAGTTTCTTCCACCCTTACCTCTGCCCTCCTACCCCACACCCTTGATAACTGCACGCCAGCCCTGATTGCCAGCAGTCAGTTCTTGGGGTGTGTCCTGCTCATCCTGGTTTAAACTTCCAAAGATGCTTATCTCCAGCCTGTACCTGCCTTGCACCTACTTAGTTGTGTGGTTTCCTTGTGCATTTCTTTGTGAGTCGTCCGTGAGCACTGGGAGGGCAGAGGCTGTGTCTGGTTATCCTCTTTGCTGGTTAAGAATGTACTGAATAAATTAAGTCTACCTAGTACAAATGTACAAGGCAGCTGACGCTCAAGGAAAGGGCAGGGCTGGAAGTGGAGATGGCAGGGTCATCAGCATACAGCCGGTGAAGCCATGGGTGTGGCCGAGACAGCTCAAGAGTGTTTAAGGTCTACAGAGCTGAGTGTCCGTTGCTAGAGGTGACTCAGCCCTTGAGGGCTGTGAGGCTGGTGGCCACCCACCCACTCTCACCCCCCCCCCCGTCAAATACTCAGCTGTGCTGTCCCCTGTGGCTGCTGGTTGCAGACCTTACTGGTCCCATGGAATCATTTCTTCCACTGCCTCCTCCTTCCTGCCTCTAATCTGCTAGCTAGGTCCCCAGGAGAAAGAGCGAGTCTCTGAGACCTACAGTGAAGTTTTAGTTTTCTCTGTCTTTCTCTCTCTTTAGTCTTCCAATTTGTAAAATGGGAACACTGGACCAGTGAACCCCACCCCACCTTCAACATTCCTTGAGTTAGTTTCTAGAAGATGCTGCCTGCTAATGAGGGAACTGGGCAGGGTTAAGCACTGGAGTTTATGAGGGTCTCTCAGGCTGCCTCGGTTTGCATCCTGCTGGGCTGTGTATGAGGGAAACCAGACAGGACAGAATCCAGGGCAGGGAGTTGGCTAGAGCTGGAGGGGGTGCTTAGAGCAGGGAGCCCAGTGGGTGATGGGGTTTGGGAGGCAGGAAGAGAAGGAAAGAATAAGGGCAAATATAGGCAAGTAAAAAAAAAAATCAAAGAAATGATGTGTTTTCTCTAGACAAGCATCACCCTGTCCTGGGATGGGCTCACCAGATGTTCCCCAGATGTTGTTGGTGATGGGAAACATCTTCCTCTGGGATCCCAACTAAGCTCTTCCTGTTGGTGGGGAAACGAAGGGTCTGTTCCAAGGCAAGGAGGGTGGGGTCTGGAGCAGCATCGATCTGTGACTATGGCATATACATAGGCAAAAACACATCCTCAGAGAATTTCTGAATACTTAGGAGAGTCTGATGAGTTCCTCAAACATTCAGTGTCCACAGACCACCCACTTTTAGGTACATAAAAAAGTACTACTAGTTTTAAATAAACCATTTTAAAAATTAAAAGAACAATTTCTTTTAAGGAACAAAATGTGGCAAGATTGAGAATTCACCAGATTTTATCATACATTGTTGGTGGGAGGGTGAATTGATAGTTTGGAAAATAATTTGGCAGTACCTACCAAGGCCAAACTATAATGTTGTAATTCTACTCGGTATATTCCAAAGAGAAAAAATGTGCCTATGTCCACTGAAAGACACAAGAATGTGATAGCAGCTTTATAACATCCTGAAACTGGAAACACCCCAAACGTCTAATAGGTGAGTGAAAACAATTGTGATTTAATCATATAATGGAATATTATACAGGAATGAAAAAGGACAGATGATTGCCTCATACAATGACAGGGATAAATCTTAAAAACATTATGTTGATTAAAAGAATCCATGCACAAAAGAAGAATAACTATGATTCCATTTATTTATATGAAGTTTAAAAACAGGTGGAACAAATGCATAGTGATAGATAACATTACCTTCAGGAGTATCGGCTGGGAAAGCTTTCTGGGGTGCTGGAGATGTTCCATGTCTTATTCTGGACAGTGCTTGGACACTACATATGTAAAAATTCAACTCCTATACTTAAGATTTGTTCACTCCACTGTATGTAAGTCTTACCTTGATAAAAGGAGGGGAGTAGGGGGTGACAATCGTGGTCTATAACTGTGAAAAGGATGCCACTGTTCTCAGGCTTCCACCAGTAAGTCTGCCTCCTGACCAGTGAGGGATACCTGAGGCTGAAAGGTCAGGTTCAGCAGTTTGGGTTTCTCTCCACTTAAATTAGTGTAAGAATTTTATTCCACCATGATTCTTAGTTGCAGGGAGGTTCATACTTCTTGCGTGGTTTTGCATGGTTTTAGCTCTGACATTTACATCTTTGAATGATTTAGAGTTAATTTTTGTATATGGTATAAGGTCAAAGTTCAGCTTCATTCCTTTGCATGTGAATATCTAGTTTTCCCAGCATCCTGTGTTGAAAAGATACTATTTTTCAAAATCAAATCAAAACAGCTAAGTCCCCAGAAGACCTGCAACCTCCGTCAGCCTCCCATGTGCTGCCTCCGGGGTTTGTCTGAGGAATGGGGACAGCTTCCTCTGTCTAGGATGGCCTGGCTCTCTGTCCAGGTTGTCTGCTCATGATAACATGCCCTTGTAAATGCCTGTGGATTCACCAAGAGTAGGTGGTGGGCTCTGCTGTTTCTGAGCCACCCTTGGTTGTGGGGAGGGAAGGGAGGAGTCTTTAGTGAGGCTGGGAACAGGGACTAAGGTCTTATCCCCTTAGGAGGCTCAAACATCCTTCTGGGGACAATCCCACTGTACCCTCCTCCTCTTCCCAGTCCTGGGGAGAGTCCTGTACCTCTCCACCGTGCCTCTTCCTCCTTTCCCTCAAAGGAACTCACCTCTCCAAGCCCCCATCTCACCACCCACCCTAGTCCCTGAAACAGGCTAAAGGTGTGGCTCCCAGACCAGCAGCATCAGCATCACCTGAGAACTTGTTAGAAATGCAGATTCGTGGGTCCTCCCGAGACCCACTGAATCAGAAAGTCTGGCAGCGGGGCCCAGCGACCTGTGTTCTAACAAGCCCTCCATTCATTCCGATGCACATCAAAGATTGAGACCCACTGACTTAAGGCTATGGAAAGCAAAACGCAGGAGAGGGAACTGTCTTCAAGCACATTTCTTGAACATCCTTGTTTATCTAAAGTGAAGACTTTTTAGTGTAGACCTGTCGATTGAAAATCTGAGCGGTTGAGTTCTGGGTCAAAGGATTTTAATGGTATCTGCCAAATCACCCTCCCAAAAGTTGTGCCATTTTCAGTTTCAACCAATAGTATTTGAGATTGCCTGTTTCCCAGTAGCCTCCCTGGCACTGAATGTTATCAAACTTACTGACCTCTGCCAATCTGATAGGAGAAGCCAAGAAGAGATCTTACTGTTTTAATTGCATTGCTCTAATTATGAGTAGAGCTGAGGCTCTTATAAGCCATTTGTGTTTCCCTCTAAACCCCTGAATTATACTCTTTATTTATCTTGTATTGTGTTGTTTTAGGTCTTTGAGGATTAGGGAAGTGAACTCTTCTGACTATCACACATGTGGCACTTAATCTGGTTTGTTTTTACCCTGGTTGATAATATGTTTTATCATACAGAAGTTTTAAATTTTTACGTAGTCAAATTTCTTCAGTATTTAACTTAGGGATCCTGGCTTCGTGTGCTGCATTCCCTATCATAAATATTACAAACAA